TAAGCTGGCAACTCTACGGCGGTGTTCAAGGCTCTGCAGCTTCGCCTCTACTGATTCCGAGTCACCTGTAAGCCTCTTAGCACGCTTGCATATTGAATCCAAGGTGGCCAGTTGGTATTTAGCAGAGTCATCCCATAAGTGGCAGCAGTACTCTATACACGACCAGACTTGTGCTTGGTATTCTTTGGCCTTGCTATTTTATGTACAATACACTTACGAAGACAGATTTACTACATATGGAGTGGTTATATTTGGAACTGAAAACTATGTCACGGGAATTTAGTCAAGTGTAAGTGTTAGTAATGCGATACTTGTTAAGTGAACGATCAGACGCTCCGAAGATATTGGCAAAGTTTCGTGCTAATAGTTGCGAATACAATTTCCTATTTGTCGCTAACAAACTTCCTTTATTTACTCCCCAAATGTTCTCAGAGTATAGTTCAGTTTACGATCACAATTAAGATGCGATAATATATAGTTTACAAAGATTATATTGTTACAAGTTTTAATTGTGAAATAGTTTGTCCAGGAAAGTATCTTACCTATTTCTGCCGCCAAGCAGTAATATGAGCATTACTGCGTTTTAGTTTTGACGGGTTTGGGTGCTGGTGAAATTACAGGCACATGGAATTTTTCAACTTATGTCTCACGGTGACAGGCGTAGTGTCTCTCTGATCTTTGCGATTTAAAGTTCTGAGTGGCACTGTAACTGCTATTGACAGGCGTGCTGCTTAACACAAGGCGCACGACTTGTTCGTTCCGTCACTAGGTATCATAAAAAAAAACAAATATGATGTAGTTTAAACTTTACTTACAGGTCTTATTCTTCTACTGATATTCCACACATCTGGTGCATGGAATCTGGTGCTGTGTGTAAGCTTTGCTGTAAAACAGAAATTTAAAAAAAATATCGGCTTTAGTTTCACAAATATACAATAAGTGCGGTATGTTGGGAAAAAGTTAGTGATAATAATACCGCCGCAAAAGGCGAGATGAGGGTAGTCGCCGACAAAGAAAGAGAGTAGACAGGTATATTTACTTACATCCTCAAACCTGTCAACTGCCGTTTTCCAGTCAACCCGTGGCCGAGGACCTTAGAGGATGGAAAAAAATTCCGTAGTCTAAGCCGTGGACCGAGTAAACGTTCTGACAACTTTTACATATAATTTGGGTGGGAGCTTCCGGATGCTAGATTGGTCATGTCTATATCCTATTAGGGTGCTATTAATTATTAAAAAATTGACACAGAACGACGAGATAGACCGGGACGTTAAGAACAGGATAAGTACAGGATGGATGAAATGGCGATAGGTCATAGGCACCATTTGTGATCGGCAAATGCCCCTTAAGCTAAAGGGGAAAATATACAAGACCGTGATTAGACCTGTCTTATTGTATGGATCAGAATGTTGGGCGATGAAAACGGTGGATGAACGGGCTGTGCACGCAGCGGAAATGTGAATGTTGATATGGACGTGTGGAGTGACGAGAAAGGATAAGGCACTGCAACTGTTATGGACAGGCGTATAGCTTACCACCAGGCGCACGACTTGTTCGTCCCGTCACTTGATATTGTATAAAAAAAAGAATGAAAGAAAAATACATGTTGTGACCCCACCTAGGTGGGATAAGGACAGAAAGAAAAAGATTAATTATTAACAAATAGTAATTACATAAGTATTACTAAATTAAAATGCCAACTTTTCAACATCAAATTAGTGGATAACTTCTATAATTTCACATTACACAATTTTGTTTCATGTAGTTCGTAGTGTTTTTAAGCCTTTCGTCTTAATAAGTCATTTCATAAGTAATGTCATTTCTGACATGTAATAATAATAATAATAATAACGTACACGCATCCTAGGTCGCGGGTGCCATGGACACACACACAGGTAGTACATGTATGCGTAAAAGATAATTACAATCTAACATAATTAAGGACGTCACGAAGGCTGCGTCCCGGTATGGCTTGTCAAAGATGAACATGTTCGAAGGAATTAAGTAGCGGTAGAGCTCCTTGAGAAGAGCTCTACCGCTACGCCGCCAAGCAGTATTGTGTGTATTAAGTACGGCGTTGAAGTGAAGCATTTACAAAAGTATAAGTAAATTAATAATGTAAACAATAACAATAGTATGTTTATCTACACACATCATAAACCATCTATGATGTGTTTAAAAACAGCAAATTACGACCAGTACAAAGTTAAACTGTTTTAATTAAATTTTTATTGAATTGATATTCAATTATTTTTTGTGAAATTACTCCACTAGTTTGTTATAATTATTAATACAAAGATCGAACACTCAGAAAAAATTCCTTCGATTCCTCTATATAAATCTGTCATAGATTTCTCATAGATGGCGCTACGACTAAAAAGTCGTTGAAAGACCAAGTACAAAGACACGACGCAAGGACACAGAAAAATTCGTGAGGTCCGTTGGTTCGTTCCGTGGCTTAGTTGGTATAGCGTCTGGCACGGTATGCAAGAAGACGTCGGTACGAATCCGACCGGATCGAAGGAATTTTTTCTGAGTGTTTTTTCTGAGTGTTCGATCTTTGTATTAATAATTATATTAAACTGTTTTGTTAGAACACATTTAAGAAATTTGTTCATGTGAAAATATTATTATTGCTTCATAATAACATTAAATTCGTTTTTTATTACTTTCAAATTTCGAACATCTCTGAAAAACAAAACAATTTGATTCGACCTTATTTCTAATGTCAGTCGAGATGAAGTTTTATTCCAAATGAAATTTTAATGTCAATAACAAACAATTTTGAGAAATTTCACGCGTTACTTTATATTAGACGATATGATAGTTAGGGCCTTAGAGGATGGAAAAAAAGAAAGGAAGTTGGGGCCGACTCTAGATTGTCTATGAATTTAATAATATCTACGGTTGTGTGACATGCGTGAGAAAAGTTTTTATTTGCCGTCATTTCGCCAGTTGTTACATGCGGTTTCTGAACACGTCATAGAGAGCTTATAATATGTGTATAGATAAAGCAGTGTATGTCACTGTGCATAATTAGGCATTAAAACACTCGTGTGATATTTTTATGAAACTGCTCCCTTCTTTTAATGCCTTTCATTATGTAACAGTCACATAAACTACTACTTTTCCTTAAATGCATTCAATAATAAATTAAGTCTTCAAAAGGAGAATTTTAAAAAAATCTTCGTGAAGTTTGTAGAGCGGGTTTTCTATTAAAAATATTTGCACCTTTTTGTGTTCTAGGTCGTGCAATTGGAATATAGCCAATGGCAGTTGATTGTACGATTTTGGAATTACGGAAGGAGATAAAAAAGTCATGAGAAACCTGTGACATGACTGACTATATTTAATAAATTGAATAAATTACATTTATAAACGATTGCAAAGGAATGGAGAGTAGTTTTATGACTTCACTAATGCCAGGTTTGGTAAGAGGAAGATAATTTATTTTAGCTCTAGGAAGAACAGATAAGGTCTTAAAAATATTTTGAAGTACACTAAACTTGCATTTGTTTATTAGCTTTACATGTTTTAACAATCATATAGCGCTAAATTCAATATTTGCGGTGTATTTGCCGGAAACGTGCAAATTGTGCTATCTCTTCCCCCAAAACATGGAGTAAGAAGAAAAGTGTCGTATTTCTTAAAAAGATAAGACAAGTATATATGTATATACCTCGTGTTCTCAAGATTTTACAGCTGTGAAATTTGTTTTTCCGCCGTCGCGTAAATACGCCGAGGTCGAATTGCCCTTTTATGGCGTGATTGAAATTTTGGACGATCTATTCATGACTTTACTAAACAAACAAAAGTTCTCTAAACACTCGCGACAAAAATGTTTTTGTGTGCAAACTATAATGGAGTATTATTAGTTAGTTTGAGTAGTAGTAAAATATTCGTCATTTGGGACAGACGTCTTATTGGCCGTACTATTAGATTTTAGATTGTAAATTTTCTTCAATAATTTAATATTCTGACATGTTTTCGAGGGAAATCGTGTATCTTCACGGTACACGAGACTGAAATCGAGAATCGATGTTACAATTCATCGACTAATGCGACACATTCTGCGAATATTATAATATTATTGCAACAACTGAAATTAACTCATAAAAATCATTATAATAGAGACTTCCCGACGAATAATGACGAATAGATGTGGCGCTATCACTCGTTAAACTTCTATTAAATTTTAAGAGAAGTAGCTAAACATACATAAACAATAGTAAATTGGTACATATTGGCAAAAAATATCTAAAAATACGCGATAATTTAGCAATACGTATATTTAAAAAATGTGTATGACATGATAATTGTCAACTTTAGCGACTGGTGCATATGGTGCGTTGGACCAATTTAGAAAATAACCTTTATTGGTTCCAGTCTAGGTAGTGCCCCGGAGTGAATTCTATTGCTCCGGTACATAGTATATGCATAGTACAGAGAAAAACAAAAAAAAATCTCGGGCGGCAACCTACGACACGATGGGCACTTTTAACCAAGGTACAAGGAACAAATGGTGTACTTCCCATCGCACGTGATAATTCATTTAAGTGGTATGGATTTTAGCGTTCGTCAGTCAAAGGCAAATTAATGTAATTAAAGCGAACACCCAATAGTTCTTTGATAGAAAACCTTTGTGTGTTAAGAAAGGTATATTTTGTAGCTTTTACTGTAGTTGTGTTGATAATAATCTCTTAAGGTACTTTTGGATGCCGAAATGGTAGTACAGTGAACGTAAAAATACTAGATGTATTAAAAAATATATAAATATTTGATATTTATTGTAGTGTAGGTAGATAGGATTATTATTGTATAAAGATAATTGTGTAAAACGAGGGTGATTGTGGTTTTGAGGCAGTCGAATATACGCTGTTAAACGGTCAATGCGCGTCTTATTGTTTCCCCCAGTAATAAATACCTCAGTGGCGACGAGCGAATAAAAATCGTATTTACGTGCGCGTGTAAGTGAACGTTACATAATAAGTAAAAAGAAAATGTCAATCGGCAAGTTATGTGAGTTTGATGTGAAATCCGGGACGTGGTCATCGTACATTGATAGACTGGAGATGTACTTCAAGGTTAACAAGGTCGACAACGAAATGAGATTACCGACTTTGATCGCGACTATGGGTGATGAAGCATACGAATTACTAGTAAATCTTGCAAGTCCCAAGAAGCCATCGGAATTAACATACGGACAGGCGGACGATTTGATGCGTCATCATTTGCAACCGACGCCGTCATCGTTAGCGGAGAGGTACCGATTCAGACAGAAGCGACAGGGGAACGGGGAGGACGTCGCAGCCTACGTAGCAGTTTTAAAAAAGATGTCTCGCAATTGTAAATTCGCGGCGAACTTAAATGAAAATTTGCGAGATCAGTTTGTGTGTGGACTCAGCAGTGACGTCATTCGGCAACGGCTGTTCGCGGAGGACGACTCCATAACATTCGCACAAGCAGTAAAATTAGCGAGTTCTCTGGAAGCGGCGGAAAGGGACGCGGCCGTAGTTGACGTTGCGTGTGAAAGGTTATCGCCGGGCACAAACGCTATGTGTGAAGTGCATGCGCTCACGCCAGGCGGCAGGGCGCCGCGCACTTACCGAGCCGGCGGGGCGCCGCACTATGGAAAACCGAGTGCGCCGCCGCCGCCGCAGCGCAGTCACCGAGCTGGCGGAGCGGGATCGGCTCGCGCGGCAGCGCGGCCACATGCGAGGCCAGCGGACACACAAGGACCGGCGGGCACGGGGTCAACGAATTGTGAGGCTTGCGGAGCCACAAACCATAATTCAATTACGTGCCGATTCCGGGAGTACGTATGCAGTAAATGTCATACTACGGGGCATTTGCGACGGGTGTGCCCGGAACAGGAGAGGAGGGAGCACACATCGCAAGGGAAGCATTCTCATCGCCGCGGTGGACAGCGAGGAGGTTTTTATTTCGGTGACGTCGGTCGCGGATCAAGCGAGGAGGAGGACGGGGACATCGAGGAGAATTTAAACCTTGTAGCATTGAGTAATTATAAGGCAGTGAGTATTCCGGTTTCCATTGATAATAAAATTATTAATATGGAGGTAGATACGGGAACCCCTATCTCGTGTATTAGTAAAGTGACTTATAATGACTATTTTTCGCATCGGGGCATAGAAAGTGACAATACCGTGTTAAGATTTTACGATGGTTCGAAAATTAAACCGTTAGGTATAATACGGCCCCGAGTTCGGTACCAGGACCGAAATGCACGCTTGGAACTGTTTGTAATAGAAGACGGCACCACCTCATTAATAGGGAGGCAATGGTTGGCAGAACTTCAAATAGATATTCCGAAATTTAATTGTAATTTTGTATCTAGTCATACCGCTGGACGTTTAGATAAGGAGATTTGTTATTTACTCGACAGATATAAGGAATTATTCAGCGACGGACTGGGGCGGTATACGGGAGGCAAGGCAACGCTGCGCGTGCGAGAGGGAGCGGCACCGGTGTTCTATCGCGCGCGCCCGCTGCCGTATGCGCTGCGCGAGCGTGTAGACTCCGAGCTGGACGCTATGCTGCGCGCCGGCGTCATCGAGCCCGTCGACTGCTCCGACTGGGCCTCGCCGCTGGTGCCTATCAACAAAGCTGACGGTACACTTAGAATCTGTGCGGATTACAAAGCGACTTTAAACCCCGTTTTACTGATCGACCGTTACCCGTTGCCTAAGATAGACGACGTATTGGTAGGGTTAAATGGAGCACGTTATTTTAGTAAGATAGATTTATCTCAAGCTTACAATCAAGTAGAATTAGATGATTCTAAAGTATATACGGTCATTAACACTCACCGAGGTTTATTCCGTTACAATAGATTAGTTTACGGACTGGCGTCTAGTGTAGGTATTTTTCAACGAATAATGACGAATCTCTTTAGAGGAGTGCCTAATGTTCAAGTATTTTTAGATGACGTCATAATAGGAGGCAAAACAAAAGACGAGCATCTGGAGGCCTTGAGTTTGGTGCTACAAAAATTGCAAAGCAACGGGCTTAAGCTAAAAAGGAGCAAGTGCGTATTCTTAGTAAATGAAGTAACGTATTTAGGTAATATTGTATCAAAGGAAGGTATAAAAGCGGATACATCTAAAATAGACGCAATAAAAAAAATACAGAATCCAAGAAATGTGCCTGAATTACGCTCTTTTCTGGGTTTGGTAAATTTTTTTGCAAAATTCGTTAAAAACTTTAGTTTTGTTCTGGCACCACTTTATAATTTATTGCGTAAGGGTATTGAATGGAACTGGAGTGACGGATGTGAGCGGGCATTCCGGCAGGTAAAAAGGTTGTTAACTGGGGCGGACGTGTTGGCGCATTACGATCCGGCGCGAGCGGTGGTGGTGACGTGCGACGCCAGCCCGTGCGGGGTGGGCGGCGTGCTGGCGCAGCGCGACGCGGCAGGCCGCGAGCGCCCGGTGGCGTACGCCTCGCGCTCGCTCACGCCGGCGGAGAGAAACTATTCACAAATCCATCGGGAGGCCCTAGCGATAGTGTTCTGCATGAAAAAGTTTCATCAATACCTATACGGGCGCCATTTTGTCTTACGAACGGATCATAAGCCGCTAGTTTCAATATTGAGCCCTTGTAAGGAAATTCCTACAATGACAGCGAGTCGCATGCAACGTTGGGCTATAATTTTATCAGCGTACGATTACGAGATTGAATATGTCAAATCTAAGGACAATTGTGCAGACGGGTTGTCGCGATTGCCAATTCATACGAACGGTAAAGAGAGTGATAAGATACCTGAGCAAACTTATTTGCATTTCGCACAAGACGCTTTACTTTTAAATTATAAGGAAATTAAAAAACACACACAAAGCGATCCAATATTGAGCAGGGTGTTGAGCTATATTCGTGACGGCTGGCCTACTGATTGTGAAATATTAGGATTACAGCCATATATAAATAGGAAACACGAAATGTACGAAGAACTAGGTTGCGTTATGTGGGGCCATAGAGTTGCAATACCTGAAAAATGTAGGGCAAAGGTGCTGGAAATAATTCATGAACCACACATGGGTATAGTAAAGTCCAAAGCATTGGCCCGTAGCTACGTGTGGTGGGCCGGGATAGACGAGGCGGTGGAAGCGACGTGCCGAGCCTGCGGCACGTGTGCCGCGCTGGCGGACGCGCCGCCGCGCCGCGCGCCCCAGCCTTGGCCGTGGCCCCAGCGCCCATGGTCTAGGCTACATATAGATTTTATGGGACCTATCCAGGGCAGAACTTATTTGGTTATCGTCGATGCTATGTCAAAGTGGTTAGAAATATTTCAAGTACCGAGCACCGCAGCCGGCCCTACTATAGAAAGGCTACGGGAACTATGGGGTAGGTGGGGATTACCCAAACAAATTGTAAGTGATAATGGTCCTCCGTTCACTAGCAATGAGTTCCAAAATTTTTTGTTAAGAGACGGCATTGAACACATTTTTACAGCCCCTTATCACCCCTCATCCAATGGGGCCGCGGAAAATGCCGTGAAAACATTAAAACGGGTCATAAAGAAAGCGATTTTAGATAATATCAATATCAATCAAGCGTTACAAAACTTTTTGTTGTATTATAGGAACACAGAGCACACGTCGACTGGTGAAAGTCCGGCCATGTTGTTAATGAATAGGCGATTGCGTACCCGTTTAGATGCGTTAAAGCCGGATAGAGAAGCTAAAATACGACTTACACAAAAGCGTCAAGTTGACGCAGCTGGGGGGAAAAAGGTAACGAACATTCAAGTAGGGGTAACGTATGGTACCGTCAATATTTAAAAGGGGAGAAATGGTTACCTGGCAGGGTGACCGAGGCTGTAGGTACCACTAATTTTAAGGTTTCTGATGGTAACGGTACACTTTCTCATAGACACGTCGATCAGTTGAAACGCAGAGGTAGTTCGCTTATTTTCCCTACCGTTTCTAAGGAGCCTAGTACAGATAAAGAGGAGTCCTATAAGGGCACAGAGAGATGGGCGGTGAGAAATCAGTCGGAGGCGTCGACGGGGTCGCGGGCACCGGGGTCGCCGGCTACCGAGGCGGCACTGTCGGACGCTGAATATGAAGAGGTGCTGGAACCTTCCGACCAACCCTATACGATCACCCCAGATCCGCCGGAGCCTACCCCTATGCCGTCCTATGCTCGTCCAATTAGGAAATGTAGGATAGGGAAAGAGATTAGGTATAAGTTTTAGTCTTAAGTTGAAGTCGTAATATATAGGTACATTATAAGTAGTTAAGTTTTATGTTGTTGTAAGCCATAATTAGTATAGGTAAAAGATTGTCATAGTAGTATTTAAGGGTGAAGGGATGTAGTGTAGGTAGATAGGATTATTATTGTATACAGATAATTGTGTAAAACGAGGGTGATTGTGGTTTTGAGGCAGTCGAATATACGCTGTTAAACGGTCAATGCGCGTCTTATTGTTTCCCCCAGTAATAAATACCTCATTTATAAATATTTGATGAATAAATCACCTTATGTCAAAATATGTCTACTTTTAGAAGAAGAATTAAACTTACAAACAAAAGAGCAAGTTAGGTTTATTGACATAAAGTTGATATTATTATTACGTTCAGATATATTTGAACACTACGCACCTCTCATTTTGATTTACTGCATGACTGAAAGGATGTAACAAATTCTGGACTGTTAATATAATTTAAACATTACCCAGCTGGCATATCACTGAAAGTTTAATATCTGTTATTTAGAACGTTGTCAGTATGCTACCATCTAGCGGTATAGCAGCTACATTGCAGCGGTATAGGGTTTACTTTTGTTTCTTATAACAAAAAATCGACTACTTAAAAACTTATCGATGATATGAAACACCACTGTGGTTATTATATTACAGGTGGGACTATCGTTTTTGCACTCCAAAGTAGCAAAATAAAGATTTTTTCAGGATTTTCAAGGTTGTGCCCGAGATAGTTGATACGACTACGATGTACAAGTACTACTGTAGTGAGGTCAAGTATGCGGAACTTTGCTTACTGTCGGCATGCGTGAATTGCCAACTAAGCACTTCTACTGTATTTATAGTTCTGTGGAGGTAACGACTGACAGATGGCTTCCAAAAATAACTTACCCGCCTTTGTTACTCCCGATCGTCGCAATCCTCCCCACTAAATGGATGATTACAGATTAAGACCCTGGGCACTTATTCTAAATAATGTACAGCGTACGTTTTGTTTGATTAAATAAATGGTTGCAGTACCCTAGTAGGCGATTTTCAGGCGTGCGTTTCAAACCCGTATGCTTTCGGTATATCATCAACCAATAAAGGTATCATCGCCCACTGAATGTCCTAATGGATATTCAGGTTACTGGATGACTGGATGGACTGGAACTCATTTGAGACAGCGAGTCTTCATATTCATTACCGGCAGGTATAATCAGGGTAACTCGTTGCCTCAATGGACTCTATACTCCTTTATCTTGGTCACTATGGCCTCAACCTACTTGCTCCCTCTCGCTATATATGAGTCAGTATCAAATCACCCCCCTGAAATTGTCGGTCGGCACCCCCAGCGTAAGTAGGTCTTTTAAGTTTACTTTTTTACTTTTTGTTTTACTTTTCTAATAGCTTTTTTAAGTGTTCACCGCATTTTCCTGCTTCGCCTTTCCCTTGGGATTTGTAGATGGCTGAATTTACATGTTTAATACATTTTTTACAGAACATTATAAATTCTGGAGTTGAAAAAGTAGGTCGGTTATCGATATGGACTGCGAACTAAAGTACAAAGATAAGTACTTTAATGTTCACACCTGCGTCTGTACCACGCAACGCTATGACAGCTAATCATTTTAAATGCGCGAGAACTCGTGTAATCAGGAAATAACGCTTCCCGCCACAGTCGGCGGAATTACGAGTTCAACAAGAACTTCCAGGAAGCACGTTTTGTCAATACATTTTGCCAATATAATCATGATTTTATACCATCAATTATTTTTAGTTATAGTATAAGCCTTTCTGATGAAATAACAGATAATCCTTGGAAAATATGGCTTTTTCTAATAGCTATAATAGCCAAATAGCGGTAAAAAGGGCCATCCAAATAGTTGATTAATTTTATTTTAATGAGTGTCGGTCAGTCTCCTTAGTCACTTTTTAAAATAATAGACAAGGCTCCTCTGCTATATTTAAATATGTTCTTTTGAGGCCGAATTCTCCCGATGAAGTCGCAATAAGTCATCGTCGGCCGGACCGTTGTCCGCCGACCAGGCTAACTCAATAGCACGATCTCGCAGCTAGGCAGTAGCTATCCTAATTTCAATCAGATTTCTGATATACCTTCTCCATAATGGGGTCTTGTAAAACCGGAACCTTATTTGATAAATTTAGTATAATGCAACCGACTGTACTGTCTACAGCTTCGAAGTCATAGCGCTGCGGCAATTTGTATCATTAATTCTATATTCTACTGTGCTCTAGAATCGCTGTATGCATTCAGATGCAAGAGAATTGGGCCACTTGTACATAATTACTTTGTAAATATAATAAAACGAGTTTTGCATTTGTGAAAATAATGTTTTTACGATATTGTATGTATATGTTCTAGCAGAAAAATCGAAGTGGGGGCGGAAGTGGCGTTAATTGCGCACTTATTTTATCATTTAGTGGTGAAATTACAGGCACATGGGACTTGTCAACTTACATCTCAGGGTGACGGGCGCAGTGACAGAGCCCCACAGCTCTTTGCGTTTTAAAGCTCTGAGTGGCACTGCAACTGTTATGAACAGGCGTGTCGCTTGCCACCGGGACCACGACTAGTTCGTCCCGTCACTTGGTATTATAAAAAAAAATAGTAGCACTTTAATTAATGGCTCACAAGTTGCTCAAAATAATTTTATTCAAAATGATTTAATTATTATCGAAAAGTGGTTCGCTAATTTAATCATCAATCATATTCTCAGAAGTGATTTTTTTATTATAACCTTTAAAAAGGACAGCGCCATTAACTTAATTTAAAATTGTATATTACATTTCTTTTATTAAAAAAGAAATACAATTTATTATATACATTTATTTTGGTCTCAAATAATTTACCTAAGGAGTTAAGTAAGTTTATTTATTAAGTCGAAGTTAAATACAAAATAGTTCTTTGTTTAAAACAAATTGAGTTTTAATGTTGTTCTTACAAAAAATGTCACCATACCTCGCGATCAATAGGGCTAGCACTACAGGACGCGACTGGTGCGAGTGCGACATAGAAGCGCGTGATATAGTTATTCTCTATACGAAAATAGCTGTATCTCGCGCTTTGTGTCGCTCTCGCGCAAGTCGCGCCCTGTCGTGTTAGCCCTACAGAATTTTCTTGCTAACCTTAATTGCGGTACTTTTATATTTTATTTCGTCGTACATACTAACATAAAATGACTAATTAATTACTTTATGGAAGTATTTCAAATTGTAAAATTTAGACATTGGTAATGTGAAGTAAATAAATCTGAATGATAAATCAATCCATTTAACCATTTCTCAGCATTTAATACGTCCATTTTTGAAAATCCTCCAGATCTACTGTGGCGTAAGGAAGCCGAGTCACGCGGCTAGACTGTATTTAGGGCGCTAATAATTCTTTGCTTGTGCTATCCTGACTAAAATGATATAGAAATCTACCTACCTACTCACTCGTTCCTTCCTTTACTACGACGCGACGACAGCGGTGCGGTTGTGAGTCTTCAACTGGGCAGATGGCACAGTCTTGTTCGTTTGTAGCGGTCAGTAGCAGAAATAGAAGAGATAAAAAACGAAAAGGAATAATTATACCATTTCAAGTACAAGTTGGATTTTTTTAGCGACATTGACTCCTAATGCCAACACCGACGACACCACGCAGCCAGTTTCGTTTCAGTCAGTACGCGGAGCATTCGATATCATTGTATATTGAATAATACAGGCAGAATACCGAACAAGTACAGACAACGACGCTAGTTCAATTGGGATGAACGGCTCATAATAGGAAAATGTGGAAAGGGAAAGATTGTGCTACTTCTTATTAAAGTCCTTTTTCGTGACTGAGAAGGCTGATTGATGCTGTTTGGTAGCTATATTAAATCGAGTAGCTATAAGGGATAAGCTCATCATGCCGAGCCTTCTCCTCTCACTTTGTAGTGGGGCCAAGTTTGAGTCAAATTTTAGGATTTTAATTTTATCGTCTACGAAAGATACATGATAATGAAGCCGTGGTAGCCTAATTGTTTGACGTACAGCTTGTGCAACAGAGGCCGTGGGTGCGAAATCGGGCTCGCACCTTTGGGTTTCTCGGAATTTATGTGCGAATTTTAATTTGCCATGAGGTTTTTGGTGAATGAAAACATCGTGACGAAACCTGCGTTGAAACGTCATAACCCTCGGTAAACGTGTGAAGTTCCCAAGCCGCATTGGGCAAATGCGTGGCCAGCAGTGGGTTCATGATGATGGTTTATGAAAAAGAAGTTGATAAGGCTCGATTGAGGTGGACTTACCACGACCAAATTGAGGACGTTCAGAAGAAAGTTCAGGACGACAGATGTGTGTCAGAATCATAGCAAGTGGAAAGCTGTGGTTTCTGCCTGCCGCGTGAACTGTAGGTAGGTACATAATTTTTTATATTCTACATAGCACTCACGTCGATACTAACACATATGTATACTACATTCACTTCACAATGTTTTAGCTTTCGTTGCACCACAACGCGCTACCCACGAAAGTGGTGGCTGAAAATCAGTGCTTTGCTTTTGGGCAAATTTTGCACTGACCACGACCTATTTACGTGTGGCGCACTATAAGTTTCCGGAACGAATAAGAAAAAAATAGTATAAATGGTCAAAAATGAATTTATTGTTTCTCAAAATATTCTCCGTTAGCGTTAATGCACCTTTTCATACGAATGAATCAATTTTGAAAACATTTATGTCATTCCTCCCTGACAATCTCTGAAACATATTTTTCATACTCTTCGACAGCCTCTTCAGTCTTCAGGTGATGAAAATCGTTGACCGCGTAACTGGTTCTTAATTTTTAGAAATAAATAAAAGTCACAATGTGCCAGGTCGAGACTTTACGCGGGATGGCTCATAAGGTCAACGTTGTTCAACTTCAAAAATTCATTTGTATGTCTGGCCGTGTGATAACATTATCGTGCATATAGCATTATCGTGGTGCAAGATGATACAGCGTTTACGGTTATTTTTACGGAGTTTGTCAATAACTTCCGGTAAACAAATGGTCATGTACCAATCACTATTCACGGTACAATGATTCTCCAAAGCAACAGTAGCCACGTGTCCAGTTTTATTAAAAAAAGAAGCAATCGTGCGCTTAGAGCACTACGCATGCGCGCCATTTTGGTTGGTTTCGGCTCATCTCGAAAGACATATACGCTCGATTGCTGCTTTGTTTTGGGATCGTAACTATAAAACGATGTTTCGTCACCTGTTACTATGTCCCACACCAAATTTGACGCCCCTTCGTTGAAGCATGGCATTGCATCAAGTGACGCGATCTGTTTTTTGAGTCTTAGTCAAATTGTGTGGGGTCCACCGAGAGCACAGCTTTTTCACACCCAAATGTTTGTGTAGTATTGATTGTATTTGACTCATACCTATGCCTAAAGATGCCCGAATCTCATGGTATGTCACATGCCTGTCTGTTTTGATCATACGGCGCACAGCATCGATGTTTTTGTTGTTTACAGCAGTGGACGGCCGCTGCGCCCGTCACCCTAAGGCATAGCTTGACAAGACCCATGTGCCTGTAATTTCACCAGCACCCTTACCTGTCAAAACCAGAACACAGTAATGTCGACATTACTGCTTGGCGGCATAAATAGGTAAGGTGGGAGTACTTCCCTGGACGAACTCTTTTACAATCTTTCTTAAATGCGTGTGTGCGTTATCTATCTATCTACTCATGTTGCTCTTTGTAAAAGGAAATAACACTTCAGAGTACTACCATATTAATAATTAATAACAATAATAATAATAGCGCACACACTAATAGTTCCGCACTAGGGAAACCCTGTGTCGCGGGTGTCTTGGACACACACATAGACAACTACAAATTATACCCAAACTCACGAGAGAAATAAATGTAGATCATACTGAATCGAAGTGTAGAATCGAATCACGCAGAGGTCCCGACCTGCATCCAACCGGCAATCCAGCAATGTAATCGTTCAGCCACTGAGGCAATTAATTATCATGATGAAACGTGAACTAAAAACTTCATAAGGGATTAGTTATATAGGATTATTTGTAAAATACTAACAACCTTGCAGGACTACACTACTAGTATCATAAACAACAACTTTTGTTCCAAAACTTTTAATAATTCGTCAGAGTTTAGTTTCGTACAAAACCTCTAAACGAGAATAACTTTGTGCAAAATGCTGGAGCGCGAGTTGAGGACGCTTCCACGCTTGAACTTACCACCAAAACCAACAACGCTTAAATACAGACGTAAACCAAAAAATGTCAGATAGTACAACGTAAACTTAAGTTTATTTTATATTTTATGATGTTAGTAAAATAGTCCTGTGAGGTTGTTAGTGTTTTACAAATAACCCTGTATTTTGTTGCTTTTTCGTGTGTTAGTAGAAAATATTATAACTAGAATAAAATATATATCATATATATTTTGTTAAAAATGTGGTAGCCCAGTGGGAGTACAATTAAGAGGTGCTTCGCAATTAAGAGGTTGGCGGTTCGAGTCCCTGTGGCAGCATGTGGCTGTGACTACTATTTCTAAGATACTTACTTTTGTGAAGATTAGTAGCAATATCTCTGACTAACGGTCAAGAAAACCATCGTGATGAAATGTCGAAGAAGGTACACTACCCGTGGAAAACGTTTTATTGAAGGCCGCTACCCACATTGGACGAGAGTGGTGGACTATGGCCTTAATGTTCTCCTAACAGCCTTATCACACTGGCGATTTGCGAGATGCGATGCGCGGCGTGCACGCCTCGACAACGCCGCGGTCGCCAGTGTGATAAGGCTTTTAGATGAGAGGATTGATAATTATACTTTCTTTTGTTAAAGTGTTCGCACTTAAAGCCTCCACAGACTGAAGACTTTCTATCGGCCAATAGTTCAGTCGGGGTTTTAATCAGCATGAAGATGTATTCATTCAAGTACGCACGTTATTACGATTCGGTACCGGTCTATAGATAAGTTTGATGGGATACTCGATTGCCTTCGAACTGATCTGTCGGCAAACTACCGACCGACTGCTAAATCAGTATGGTGCGCTTCCACGTGAGTACATTTGCCGATAGTTTAATCTGTTAGATGCACACAGTATTCTCACTTTCTCTTTTTGATCCTTTTTCTCCATTCTATAAAAGCAATAATAACATTTGTGAACAATTAAATGTTCATTGCGCAACCGTAACGAAAATTAAATTGTTCTTCCTAGAGCAGTTAACAAAATTTTTCGACAGCAATCGGCCGGTTGATTAGCCTGCGTACTTACTATCAACCAGACTATTTATATTGTCGGCCCACTGTGCGCGCTAGCAGCCCAACTTAACTATCGGCGGATAGAAAGTCTATAGTTTGCGTAGGCCCTTACACTAATTTATATTGTAAGTTCAATATGAATGATGTCGCATTGTACGAAGAAAACATTGAGACTGTGTTGTCTTTTTGATTATAATCCTTGTAGACATCTATTCATTCGAATACTTGAATGATCTTTCTCATGAAAGTGAATTATTGCTGTAATAATTCTTTAGACAGCCTCCTTGGTCGAGTGGTTTACAAACCGGTTTTCATGGTGTCGCCATCTCTAAGGTCCCAGGTTTGAACCCCGGCACAGTCGCGCCACGCGCGCGTCTCTTTCGCAGACTATAGTTTGTCTTTTTTGAAGACGGAGTGAAATGACATTTGTAGTTGGGTTGCCAGTTTCATAAAATTTTAAATAGTTATGTAGTTGTTGTCGATAGTTTTATCGATACATAGAGAAAGATGATAAAATTTTGGCAAAAATGACTGAATTATGAATGTTAGGACGTTCCAATGATTACTAATGGTGTTATTGCCTCTTTTACTCTTATTTCCACAGTTGGATTGCTAGTATCGAGATCAATTTTTATTCATATGCATTTTAACAAGAATTTGATGATCTATGTTGAGTTAAAATAAAAACTTCAAAATATGTCTCTCCTTTGTATTTTTCATAAATATTTCTAAATACAGTGTACGTACCCATGTATGAACTCACAGAAATTGACAATTGAAATGAACTCGCGCCGAGTAATTGGATGAATAATGGGTCGAGGATAATTAAAATGAAACAAGTACGGCTATTTATTGCATAACCAACATTCAGTCGATAGTTGATAGAATATTTATCAACTGCAATCACTAGCTGCTCGCAAGCGGGCATAGATCATCATTCTTTTGTAGATCATACAGCATCATTCTTTTGTGTAACGAACTGTCATTTTACTCCGCCTTCAAAAAAGACTGACTATAGATATTATATGAAAATTAGTAATGGCGTGGCAGTCACCCCACAAACGCGCCACTGCAGTGCACAAGCGTCTAATTTGAGGCACTCTTAAAAAAAATCCCCAGAGAATTTAAAAAATCTATCCTTCTTTCGACGCTTACGTACGTGACTTGATTTGTGTGGACGAATACCTACTCGCGATTTTGTCCGAAACTAAACTGATTTGAATTTAAACAGTTTACTTTATACTGCTGCTATAGGTGCTTTACGAAAGGACTTTATTCAAATTTCGTTTGGTTAGGACTGAATCATGAACTTCTTAAATTCTATGTCCAATAGCACATTTAATGCCACTTTTCTTATTTATATACCTATGTATACATATAAAAGAACCTATGTATATGACATATTTTTCATGCGTAGACGACGTGCATTTCACGAATGCACGTTTAGTAGAGTGGTTACACAGGCGACTTTTAGCAGAGATGCAAACGGACGTTCGTGAAACTCGCGATTGCATCGCTGTACTTGCGATTTATAGGCTATTGCATCGATGCAAACGCGTGACTGCATCGATACAAACGCGCGATTGCATCAATGCAATCGCTTCAAAATCACTAGTGTAGCGATGCAATCGCGCGTTTGTAGTGATGCAGTCGCGCGTTTGCATCGTCGTGTGTAACCGCTCTAAGCTCAAAAGTTGACTGAAAAAAGGGGCGGGAGAGGGGCGCGTACTGCGCCACAGTATATTCATACACTGTTTAAACACAGTACCTGTACATATATATAACAATTTAAAATTTCGTCGTACAGTAGTTTGTTCAAATAAAGAAATTTTTATTATATATTATACATATTTAGTCCGTTTCTCTATTTGTAAAAACTGCATCGGCCCAATCTGCAATAATTTAGGTCGTTTCAGGCGGTAATTATTCCCACAATACAAAGCCTTTATGTAAACCCTACTAAGGATTGATTATGCAAACGAGTTCTAATCCAGCTTTGTAAAGGTCGGAGTCAAACGGCACTGGCGACTCTCAAATACTTTATACTCAACCCCAATCACTTCAGAGGGGCAGAAAAAGATTAGATT